GATTATTGATTTGGAGGAAAATGTGAACAGGAAGAATGAATGTAGATGAATATTTCATAAAATTTATATAGACGTTGAATCAAAAACTAAATCTTATAGAATATTATAAAATATCCAATTTCATCCCATTCTAAGATACTTTTTATTGCAAGTTAAGTACAGTTTTTAGATAAAAAACAAGTCTTTGGTAATCTTCAAATTTTATTACCTAAATTCACTTCTTCATTTTCTGATGCCATTATTGGTAAAATTAAATATTTAGCAAAAATTTATTCCTATGATATAGATACTGAAATCAATTTAATCAGTGAATTCGAATTGTGGTATAAATATTACTACGTTTATTATGATGCGATCAATCGGTATAAAAAAAATCTTGGCTTAGTTTACAAATATTTTGAAGGTATTTAATATTCTTGCATGTTTAACATATACGAATGAAAGGACCTTTTTCAAATTGAGAAGGTTGAAAACTTATTTACAAAATACTACTTGCGAATCTCGGCTAAATGGGTTAGCTCTGTTAAATATCCACAGAGATTTGATTCCAACGACAAAGAAAATTCCTGATGAATTGGCAACTTTCCCACGAAAATTAAAAATCGCATTATAATTCTAGTATTTAATAAAAAAATTTGTATAATATTGTATTTGATAATAAGTTATAAAAACTTGTTCTTTAAAAAATTTTATAGTCAATATTTTATACACACTACAATTAGTATTTTCAATACAAATTTTTTTATTCTATTTATATTATATGAGAATTTAAGTTGAAACTAGTTTTTAAGCCAATTTTATAAAAAAAAATTGACACTAAACTTTATTTCAATTTTATCTTCTTTAAATATTCATAAGCGCGAATTAGTAAATAAAAGCTAAAAATATTAATATAATTATTATTGAATTATGAATAATTTAAAAGAATAGCTCAGGCCAGCCAAAGGGGGTTTGGAGGCAAAGCCCCCCAAATTTCCCCCCCCCCCTATAGGAAAATCCTTGATACGCGCCACTGAGTATATTTCCAAAATCATTCATCAAACTTTATTTATTCTTAATTTTTTTTTACTCAAACTTTGCGTTGTCATATTTATTCAATTTTTAATTAAAAATTAATACATATAAAATTATGGTTTATTTGCCTGTTTATTTAGGTAAATTTCGCTAACCTAAGACCCTGCGATCCTGGTCACAAAGTACCATTATCAACAACCCAGAAATTTACTTCTTCAAAATACAATTAACTTTATTTTTACTTATCGATATGAATAATTTAATTTTTATAAAAACAAAATGGAATAACAAAATTCCTATTGATTGATATTCCTTATAATTTATTTTTATTTAAATTATTTAATTTCCATTTTGAATAGCTGCAACATTAATATTTTACTTTATTTATATCAGAGACCTGCAGAGGTACAATTTGCACGGCCTGGCCTGGATTAAAAAAATTTCGGCCCGGCCCGGATTTTTTTAAAATTATATTAGACCTGGTATATACAAAAAATTCACCTATTTGGTATTTTATCATATTTTTCGGCGAGTATTATCATTTAATAAGCAAGCATATTAGCTAATGTTGTTAAACGGCTCGTTTTGAGTCGATTCAATTTTTCGCCAGAAAGATATGTCTAAACCTCGAAATTTCGATACTATATTTCTAGAACTTTGCTCCTTCTATGAGCAAAATTTTCAGGCTTGCATAATATTTTTCTGGATAAAAAACTAAGTTAGCCGTTTTTAAAAATGGGCTCAAAAAGAGCCGTTTAACAACACTATAACATATTTTATTTTATTTTTATTCTAAACAGATATTTAGTATATTACAAATTGATACTATAAAAAATTTGTGTAAATAATATTTTGAGAATAAACTATATTAATTGTATTTATAAAAAAAATAAAACTGATATTTTAATTTATAAAAAATATAACATATATTATATAATAATATATTTAATCCTTTGCGTATTTATTCGATGGCAGGAAAACTAATATTATATTATGTAATAGATACTATGAGTGTTAGCTAGTGTTAACTTTCTCCAAACATTAAATTAATCATAACTATATATAATCATTATAACCATATCTAAATGACGAATATAGCAATTCATGTTGTATAAATTTTTTAAAAAAATACGGCCCGGCCCGGCTCGGCCTGGGGCTTAGGGCCGGGAGTCTCTGATTTATATTATGTGCTCATAACAAACTGAATTCATTTAAATATTTTTATTTTTAATATAAAAATGCATTAAATAAAAGAATATTAAAATGTATCTAAAAATAGATATTGATATATACACATGTTTTTATAAAAAAAAATTTTACTCAAAAAATAAATAAATACGTACCGATGACATGACATAGCGATTACATGACGTATACAATCGGAAAATTATAATATAATGCATAAATTGTATTTATTGACCCCAGTTTGATTTCTAAAAAAAAGTGGGGAGTGTTCAGTGGCCCCTACGCTTTCTAAGCGACGGAAGCAGAATACACCCCTGAAAAGTGCCCCCCATGGTTAACTATTTTTTGACATCCATAAATTTCAAAAATAGGTTTTATTGCATCAATCTTTAAGATATAATAGAAATAAAATGTAAAAAAATATATAGGGGAGACTAGGGTTAGGTAAACCCCGAGACTTGGCAAACCATTTAATCTCATTTTAAAATTAAATACACCAGATGGTTAAAATTTTATCCTAATATAGTTCTTATTAGTTTACATCTATAGACAAAAAATCTTTTGAAATATTTTTTTCAAAAGATTTTTACATGACAGAATTTTAATTTTTATTAAAATATATAAACATTTATATGTAAAAAATTTCATAGCAAAATTTAAACACTCTTTCATGGTACTACTAAGTCTTGAATTAATTTAATCATGAACCTTTCGGCAGTATATGAGGTAGTAGGAATTTATCATCTCTTATATTATAGGGTATTAAAAGAATCGGTAAAGACGATCTTAATATCAACATAATTATTAATTAAGAATTTGTATTTTTTTGGTTAATATTTTCGGGCATATTTTGAAATTGGAAAAATAATTTTATGACAAGAAATCTCGGATAACAACCTAATTTGCTAAACATCGACCAGATTTTATTAAAATGTAATAAGACCCCCCCCCCCCCCTTTCCCCCACATATTATTTAATTTAATTTAATTTAATATGTAATATAGTTATCATTAGGTCGAGTCCAATATCATAAACCAGAAATGACTTGGTTATGGATGGGTGTAGTAAAACAATAAAAGAATTAAATTTTTAAAAAAAGTACCCCTATTCAAATTTTTAGAAGGAGTTGCTTTGGACCCCCACCGTTGTAGAGGCCACTGGGAATGTTGTATCTATCAATTTGTAATTGACATTTATGAAGTTTGTTGATATAATTTCAAGGATTGATATTATTATTTTGTTATGTTCTTTTGTCTAATAAATAGTGGTCTTGGATTAGTAATTTTTCAATATTTAATAATTTTAATTATGTGCATGGATAAAAATTAAAAGATATTTTATGACAATGGATTTGTTTGCTGTGTCTAAATAAATGGTTGCAATTATTTTTATTATTTGGGAAATACGTATATACTCATATATGAAACTTATAACTGGAAATAATGAGGCACACTAAAACAATATAAAAAAAGTCTGATAGATACGAAATATGATCTGATAACTAATTTTGCTAAAAGTATTTTAAAAAAAATGAAATTGGTTTCCTGGGTAACAACATAGATGCTAATGGTATATATATCCTAATGGAGATAAAATAAAAGCTATTACTAACATGCCAGAACCAAAACCCAAAAAGGAACCAAATACATTCCTAGGTATGGCAAGCTATTACCGTAAGTTTATAAGCAATTTTGAAGAGTTAGCAGATTCATTGTATAAAGTAGTCAACAAAAACAAATAGACATGGGAAAATATACATCTTGACGAATTAAAATGCTACAAGTTCACCACCTACACTTATAATCCATATTAGCATACTAAGATCGCCACCAATGCCTCGAAAGGAGGCTTCGGAGCAGTTTTATTTCACATCGAAGGTGACGGAAAAGAAAAACCTATTACTTTCGCGTCAAGAGCATATCTCAAATCAGAAATAAAAAACCACATAAATATTGAACATCCCTTGCAATTATTTATAAGATTAAAAGATTTCAAATGTATTTGATAGGAACAAAATTTACAATTGTATTATAAACTACTTGTTTACATATTTATTAAGGGACTACAACACATCTATGTCCATGAGATTGTAATAATGGACTTTAGCATGGGAGCACATGATTTTAGGATAATTTATAAAGGGGGAAACGTAACTTTATACCTGATTTTTATCAAAATTATTACTATAAATACAAAGCTAATGATACAGAATTTGTAAATCGAATTATGGGATAAACAAATAAATTTTAAAATGTAATAAAGAAACTGCTAACGATAAAGAATTGATCATAGATAATATTAGAAAAAGGAACCGTTATAAAACAAAACTTACAAAAAATATGGAGACGAATTAAGTTTGATAAAAATTATCCTTTTAATAAAGTTATAATTCCATTCAAAATGAGAAAAACAATGTTACAAGAATTATATAGGGGGCATTTAGGTGCTGATAAAACTAAGCTGTTGGCCACAGACTAGATATGGTGGCTAGGTATTAATAAGATATTGTGATTCATGCAACAAGTGGGCATATAATCCATATAATATTCAAAATCCATAAATAAGTTCAACAAAACCTTATGAGCGAATTCACTTAGATAATTCATAATATTCACAGATAAATTGGCCCATATTAGTAAATTGTATAGCAAATTTCCTGTTATCGAACATGTTAAAACAATAACTTCAGAAACAATAAAAGAGTTAATGAAGATCATAGATTTATTTGGCATATCAGAGATAATAGTAACTGATAATGGGACAAATTTTACAAGCCAACTATTTGAGAAATTTTGCAAAGATCATGGTAATATATAGTTACTTCTCAAGGTTGAAAAAATAGTAAGGACTTTCAAAATGAATAAGAAATATGGAAAACTATAATATAGATTTAGACATGGCCTTAGAAATTTTTTTATTCAACTATCGTAAGAACTAGTTGAGGATTGGCTTTCTCCATCACCACCTTCTTCTCCATCAAGATTTTCAAATTGATCTTTGAATATATTTAAAATTATATAAATTATATAAAACTATGAAATTCCAGATCAATGATACATTAGCAGCTGAAAGATTAAAACAACTTAAGAAACATAAATCAATTAAACCTTCCAAACAATAGTAATTTTTTTAACCCCTCACTACACAGGTGGGGTAAATAAAACATAATCTTTGTAATACAAAACCTAGTACATATTCTGACCTGGTTTTTACAGTAGTTTAATATTTGTAACAAGACTTCCAAATTTCATTATTATTGATTTGACAGTTTTTGAGATATATGTAATATGTCGAACTTGGGGTAAAATATTCCTCACCTGTGTAATTACATAATTTTTTTTGTTAATAATTATGATTATATATGGCAGGTTAATATATAAAATTGAATTTTTTTTATCTATTTGTATGTTTTGATTGATATATATATGATTTAAATAAACATATGATTTATAATTTAAATTATTTTAATGAAAGTAATTCTATAACAATTATATAGGTAATAGATTTTGAATCAAGTGATGATGATTTTTTATTAGATAGCAATCACAATTCAGAGATTGAGGAATCACAGAGATATGTTTGATAATTTTAATGAAAACTGTAATAACTCTTATAGTATTGGACAATATGTTGCAATTGATGAAATGCTTCCAGCTTTTAGAGGGAAAATCCCTTCAAGCAATACATGGCAAATAAGCCTTCAAAATAATTTATGCCCAAGTGGATTCAAAAATTTTTTACTCTTTAAAAATAGAATTATATGCTGGCAATTATAAATTGAGCAATAAACCTTTTTAAGTGCTTGAAATACTAATTCAACCAATTTCTAAGACTAATATATATATGTCATCACAGATAACTAGTTTACCAGTTATGAACTTGCTAAACATTTGTTATTGTTAAATTCCCATTTATTAACTATAGTAGGAACCTTAAGAAAAAATAAAAAGTAGATTCCAACATCATTTAATTTTAAAAATAAAGATATTTATTCAAGCTTATATGCCTTTCAAGATAATTAGACATTAGTATCTTACACATACCAAAAAAGTATAAGCATGTTATTATGCTTTCTACCCTTCACTATTTTTTTTGAGCAACTTTAGTAAAAATATCATAACTTTATTTAGAAATAAATTGAAATATAGAAATTTTGTATTTATTATCTCTAATAATTTTACAATAATTGTGTAAAATTTTAGGTCTTAAAATTTATTATTATCTGAGATATAGCTATTTAAAATTTGGGGTAAAATAGAAACTATTGGAGTTTTTTCCACCTGTATAGTGAAGGGTTAAATCAATCTTTTCTTATTTTGATAATTTTATATAAATTTTGTAGTTGCCCATTTTGAAATTTACTACCCAAAAAATAAAATTTTAGCTCTTAGAAAATTATATTTCTTTTTCACAAATATATAAATAAAATTAATTTAAATAATTTACTTTGTTGGGGCATCAAACAAAATATACGTGATACGTAATAAAAGCGTTTTCGCCCTCTGGTTGTGGGTACAACAGAGCTACGCTAGGTTTTCCTCAAAATCCATCAAACTGGATAGTTAATTAGGGGAATAAAAATGAGGAGCCCTTCACATGTTTGTGGGCAAGCCGCACGTACTTGTAGGCGCAACATTTCGAAAAAAGTTGCTTACCTCTATAGAGTAAAAAAGAGTGTGGTAAAAAGAGCATATACCCGAGAACTACAGTATAATTTAATTACTTTAAAGGTGGGTGATGGCTGAGTTTGAGTTTAAATTCTTTAATGTAAGTTTTGATGATTACTATCACTATTGAGATTTAGTGTTCATAGAATCTGTAAATAAATATGATTAAAATAAAAAAATTTGCCTGAACAGTAGATATAGTGTTATTTTTTTATTAATGATTCAACCCATACAATACAGTAATCATAGTCTATGTTCAATTTAATGTAACCATTTCAGCTTCAAAGGGAATTGAGTGTGATAAAAATATTTAGTATTGGATGATCCTTTGCTCTTATAAATTGCAAAAGGATGTAGATATATACAATCAAGAGTGGAATGAAATGTTCAATAACCTAATTGTGTGATCTTTTGGTTCTTATATTTACAAGAATAAGGAATTCAATATATCTAATTGTGTGACCCTTCACTTAACTTTGGATCTGATATACTCAAAAATTTAAAAGAGATCAAATGTAACTATTCCAGTTTAGAAGGTATATGTGTAAGTAAACTTATAATTGCAAAAGGAAGTATAGAATATTATAATAAATCTAATTGTATGGTTATTTTTATACCTACTGAGTTGAATAAAAAATTTTCAATATAAAATTGCATGTCTTTTAATCCTTATAAAGAATAAAGATATTCTATGTACAATCAAGAGTGGAATGAAATATTCAATAACCAAATTGTGTGGTTTTTTAGATTTATACACAACAAAGTTAAAATAGATCAAATGTAACTATTCCAGTTTAAAGGTATATGTGTAAAAAAAGATGTATTTATCTACATTATAATTAATAAATGCTACTTCCTTAAAAGGGATTTATAGATGCAATATCATTACAGTTCTAAAAAACATGTCCATAATTAGGGTTCCACAGGTACCAAAACCTTTTTTTAGGTGTAACTAAGGGATTCACAAATGCAAGATCATTACAGTTCCATATATGTTCATAATTAGGGTTCCACAAGTACCAAAACCTTTCTTTAGATGTAACTATCTATGTACTGACTATGATTCAAATGTATATAAGATAAAAAAATTCATGTTATAATTATAAATTATATAAGCTGGAAATACATAATTAACAAAATATCTTATCTTGAGGATCTTCTGATAATGTAAAGCTTCTTGAAAATAATTCCATAACTTTGAATATTCTTCATAGGACTTCAATTAGTGTTTATATGGCATACCCGCCACAGATGTTATAGTTTGATCTAAAAAGATAAATATACATTATAATAATAACTTCTAATATAGTATTGAATCTTGGTATTCTATATTGTGATTGAGGATAACAAATTTTATTTCGTTTCACCGGAAAAAATTTAATTTTCAACCATAATACAGGTGATTTAAATTCGCGGGTATAATATTTATCAAACAAAATATAATATATGATTTATAAGAGGAAAAAAATAAAGTAAAATGAAATTAAATCCACTAGGAAAATTTAATTTTATTTATTATTTACTTACGATTTAAGAATAAAATATTTAAGAAAAATTATGAATATTAACGAATATTTATAAATAATTTTGAATAATACGAATAATTTCGAATAATACGAATATTTACGAATAATACGAATAATTTCGAATAACACGAATAATTGACGAATACTTTTTCTAAATATTCATATTCGATTCGAATTTTCAAATCGTATAATTGTGATATTCGTATTCGTAAAATACAAATCGAATCAAACTGAATCGAATTTCGAATAACAGATAATTCGTATTAGGCGTACACATAATTAATCACAGCTCCTAAATTATACACTTTTTTCTATTTATAGATGAGAAAGTTGGCTACATATGAATCTATAATTTACTCTGTTTTGTTTGCAAAATACAAATCATTTTACCCTGGTCTCCCATAATAAAGAAAAGATCCGCATTTGTGCTTTACTAATTGGTATTGTTGCAAAAATACATACAGTAATTATAACATTGGAAAAACTTAAATATATATTAAGTAAGCAATGTTTCCATTGTGTTTCTTTTCTTGGAGGACATCTATTAAAATTAGTCTTTCATACCAAGATTTAGATTTTGAAATTAATAGGCCTTCGGATATATTTATATCCTCTGAATAAAATTTAGCTATATATATCTAGTTTTTTTAAATTAAGATTAAATTTATCATCAGAAGGATTTATAGTCAATAGTATTAGTAAATTGGGTGGAGCCATTTGATGAATCATCAATGGTTCATTTATGGACCATATACAAAAATGGAATAACGGTTATTTTATAGTAATTCAATTGAATCCACGTTAATATTGGAACCCTTTGCTTTTCTAGGCGCAAGTCTAGGTTTGGGAATATCAAAATCATATAATTTTGCTTTCGCTTCAACAATAACATAAAAGACTTGATATGGTCGATATTATCTTTTAGTTTTCTAAATGGTAATATAATAATGTTTGCGATTCTCATAGTTTCATAATCCACATCTTTTTTTGAAAAATATTTTATTAAATTATGGTATAATTATATAATTGAATACATTCCCATGCAAAGAAAAATTGACTTTCCTATTGAATCTAATAATATTTACTTCAAATGAAGTATCTTATTCAGGCCATTTTAAATTTTTCCAAGGGCATTTAAAATAAGCTCTTCTAGATCCAAAAATGCAGTATTCGCTTGATGTCGACAGCTCCATCTTGTCAGGCATGCGTTTGGCAGTCTTTTACAAGAAGTCTCAGAAATGATTTAGTAAATTCGGTCTATTTAGATATATGAACATTTGATACACTCTAAAAATGTTACCTAATCATAGTTATTAGTAGAGATAAATTAAATAGGAATTTGTTTTGTTGATAAAATTATTTTGTATTAATCAATGTTTAAGGTTTAAAAAAATGTAAGAAAATACACTTAAAATTTTAATGGGGTAAAATATTTAAATTAAATATAGTTTTTTGCTAAAATTTAAAATAGAACATAACCTATTTAAAATAGAACATAACCTATTTGAAATAGAATACTATGCAATTCACAATTCATGAAAACCTTTTATATATTTTTAAAGAAATTTGCTCCGGGGGGGGGGGTATATCTCTACTTAGAGTACATGCCTGTCGATTGATATTGCAAGATCTGATCATATCATTTTTCGGAGCTATGATGATTTTGTGCCCTGACTTGCTCTGACTTGCCGTGGTCTACTATGTTAAATATATTGCTTATTATCTTGCAAAGTAAAATTGCATATTCATAAATTATGAGTCATTTAGGGATTTTCAAAAGCACATATACTCTATTTTGCACTCTAAACATTCTGCTTATAATTGACGAGGAATTTAAGATTTATATCCTCTACCATAACTATAAATATACCAAGATTGACAATTAATTTACATTAAAATCTTAGGAAAACTACTTTAAAAAAAATTATACAGAAAACTAAAATGGCATGTCACCAACTGGTTTGTGTTCAACTATCTTTTAAAATACATCTTAGTCACTGAATAATCGTCAGTCTAGATTAGTATTATATATCCTTGCTTCAAATATAGATGAATTTATCTAATAAACAGTCTCAATTACTTCTTTTAAAGTTATATTGAGGTCCGATACCTATATTATATTTGTAGACTTAATTGAATTGAAGTCTAAAAATTTAATGGATATCATTGCTAGATTATTTTATATTTTTAAATAAGGGTTATCTGAGGGTAATTTACATAAATGTATTTCTTTAGCGATGTGCCAGTTTTGACATTCATTTGCTGAAGATCAAAAAAGTAAATGGTATAGAATTGGTATCTAGCAGTCTTCGCACTGTAAGAATGGTTTAGATTAATTATTAAAGCTTTGATCAAACAAAATTTAAAGTATATTGACCATCTAGTTAAAAACTCTGGGAACCTATTAGATCAAACTTTATGTGTTCTGGCCGAACTATTCAATGTTTCCACTCCAGTCAGAACAATGTTTGCCCGAAGCTTGGAAAAAACAATAAATAGGGATATTGTTTTACAATCGTTGGAAAATTAAATGCCAACACTTTACCTTGATGACAACAATAAAAATAAATTGTAAAAAATTGTTTATTAAAAATTTAGAGAAAGAATCACTATTATAACTTATAAGTAGGTTCATTAACCATTATTTACTGATATTAAAATAAACAAATACAAAATTATGGATGTTTATATCGGTATCTCTTTTTGTCAAGGGGAACGGACTTAAATTTTTAAAAAATAAGCTAAAATTAGATTATACTTGCGAATTTATTTTGAAAACTAAGATGAAATTTTTTAAAATACAATTATGTATGTTTTAAAGGAATTTGCAGTCCAAAGCTACGATAATTGTTTTTAATTCATAAAGAAAATCGCAAGAATTAAGCAGATTGGCGAAAAATATTTTCTTATCAATATTCAAAGAATGCTCAGACAATCTGAGCTCCACAATAAATGAGGCTATCTTGGAAACAAAAATTAATAATATTTTGTAGAAACCCTTAAAAACATAGAAATATCTATAAAAGAAATTTATCATGCAACTAGTACATAAGATAGGCTTGTTTCTAGATTTAAAGTTTAGAAATCTTAAGTTTTTAACTAACTTAGAAAAGGCAGACGTTTACAACATCTTTACAAATGCTAAATGTTCTAACATTAGATGATATTTATCAGACAATGCCTACTCTTATTTTTACGTTTTAATTCATTTTCCACCTATAAACCCCGTATTCTTAATAAAAATTTTAGAAAATTCCTGAATTATTCTTCTGCCTTACATCTACATCTACCAAAGAAAGTTGTAAGGATAAACTAAAAAGATTATTCAGATATAAAACAAATAACAATCAAGACATTTAAAAGTTTTAGAAAAAGAAAAATTACAAGAAAATTAGAAAGTTGGCAAGTTTGGCTTCTAGTAAAAGATTATTTCCATTAACCAATTGCTTATCAGAGGAAGAGAAGCACAATTAAAATAAAAAATATGGACATTCACTTTTTTTAAATAAAAATTTTTGATTAATAAATGATAATTATTGCTTTGTTATTTACATGGAATTATATTATAGAAATAAAAAAAAACAAAGATATAATAATTTAATGAATAAAAGATCGAAAGTAGGGAATAAATTCAATTTTTTTTTAGCATTAATAGAAATTCCGATAGAAATTAAAAACACAGTGAAATTTTCAAACATGATCAAAATATTGTCATTTGTAATAATTTGGCCCGCGCTCCTCTCTAGTCACTATGATAGTTTCATCAATAGTTATTTCCAAAATAGATTGATAAATTTAAGAGATGGAGAAGAAATTAAACCTGTGCTAAGAATAAGCATATCGTTATTAGAAAGCTAAAAGGGAAAAATAATGATTGGAAGGATGACAATAACAAGTTGACAATCTATAATTTTTAACTTAAATTCTAGGTAACTAAACTTCAGTAAACTTTTTCTAGTTGTTACTCTATATATATAGAATTGTATCCACCAATTTTTTAAAATTTTTGAGCTGAGTTACATGCTTTTATACTAATTAAATTATGATTAGTTTATGTAAAAGAAAATAACGAAAAATTAATTTTAAAAAAGACAATATAGTTATACTTATATGTATCAACCAAAAACTAAGTTTCTGAAATTATTTTTATATTAGTATATAATATATGTAATAACTTATTTTTTCCAAGTATATGTAGCGATTTTATAACATAATATTCTCTACTTCATGATAATAAAAATTACGTATCAATAATTAATTATTTATTACATTCAATTTTTTTTAAATTTTATAATAACAAAGAATCTTTAACCGATATAAATAACTTTTACAAATAGTTTGTGCTTATATTATAAATTTAACAACTTTAGCCAAAAAGACATACATTTAGCGTGAACAACACATCGATAGATTATTAAATAAATTGCAAATTGAAAATCATATTATTTAGGTCAGAATTTGCGTTTACCCCATGTGTGAAACTCTCTCCAATCATCTGGTCTCTTTTCCCATAAGTTATTTCCATTATCATTATTGCCCATTTCCATTTGAGGGTCTTTTGGGATCATGATTTTAATATATTGAAAATATATTATACAAAATTTTATAAATATTAAATTTTTGTGATTTTAGAAACACACAAAGATCGGATGTCAAATTTTTAAAATAATATTTGTAAACCTTTAACCCGTTTCCCCCATGAATTAAGACTGTTCCAGCCTCTCTTCAAATTGTTATTTTCATCAATGTTTATCATATGAGGACTTTGGTCATCGTAATCTAGATTCTTATATGGCATATTTAGAACCAATAGCATTCCTTTATTCTCCGCATCTGAATCTCCTAAAGGGTGTTATGATTATATTAAATCTATTTAATATTTGGATAATTAAACATATCAATTATTTTTAAAACTTGTGTAAATATCGATGGATAGAGCAAATATAGTTAGTAAGAGCTTATAAGTAATATTTGTTTTACTTACGTTTTCCCCAACTACTAAGGGCAGTCCATTTCTCTTTTTTAGTCCAGGGCTGAAGCAGGAAGGAAGATCCAATATTGCTTTCCCCTGGGAAATTTTTATTCGAGGACTTATTGAATATCAACGATCTTTTGCGTCTACCCCAAGAATTCAGCTTATTCCAATCAGCTCTCTTCCCCCAAGATTGGAATTCATCCCATTTTCGTTTTAAATATGGGTAATTTCGAGAACCCAACCCGGATAAAGCTATTTCGGGCATTAGAATATACATTGGATAACCATTTGAGGTATCTAATGCCAAATATCTGCTTCTGTCACTTTTTGATTGCGGTGAAATTTCTAGCATTTGACAAGGGTAAGAGTAAACATTCACCACTAATATCATCGCTACGAGTATAAACTTCATTTTCGAGTAGTAGTTTAATAAATCTATTATATTTTATAAGAAATAAACACTATATCATTTATATAGTGCAATAGATAAAATATTTTTAATTGAAACTGTGTTATTTGAAAATCTTAATAATGCAACTGGATGTTTTACTTGATTTTAACATTTATGTCTAATTTTTAGTTTTTTAGTGTCCATATAGAAAACAATTTATAAATTGATTAAACAATATTATTTTTGAAGATATACTATTAGTTATATAATAATTTCAGGAGTTAGACACATTATATAATGATTATTTATATAGTATAAATTAGAATTATGGGTAATCGAATAGAATTACATTTTATAAAAAAGTCTTTATAGAAAATTATAAATTCAATTTATGTTGGAAAATTTAAAATATATACATAATAATTCTAGAAAACTTTGATGAAATTCGTGAAAATTAACGTTCTTCCATAAAACTGCAATATATAAAAAATACATATAAATTGTATAAAACTATAATTATATCAAATTTTAATAAGATTAAGCGTTAAGATTGAAATCTTATGAGATAATATACTGATATATTAATTATTATTAAATTATCATAATATAGTGTATCTAGTTATTAAAAAAATTTTTTAAATTTAATTAAATAAAAATTACACAAATTTGAAAGGAATGAAGCCTTACAATATAAATTATTTTATTAAGAATAATATTGAATTTTTTAAAAAAGTAATTTAATTTTATATCTTCACTCCTATAATTATGGTTACACTTCTATAAAAATAACTAATATTTACATTTTTAAAAGAAATTTTTTATTAATAAAATTTTTAAACAAATATCTAAGATATTTTCAATTTTTTATATATAGTTAGTTATTAAATCAATTCATAAAAAAAAATTTCAGAAATATATCAAGGAAATTAATGAGTTTTGTGTAAATTGCTTAATTTGTGACTTATACTTATGTTTTATAACAATGAAAATTAAAGATATGGTCATAAATTGTAAAATCAATAATCCCCTTTGAACAGGTTATAATAAAAAAATTGTTTGATTCATATTTTCTAAAGTTATTCAACTTTCAACTACTAAAAAGCCCAATTACATAAAAGATTAATTAATAAAAGACATATCAATTTTTTTAGGGTATTAAGGGTTTAAGTTCTCAGATTGAGTGTTAATTTACTTTTTCCAATTAACAAGCATTTCATTAAAAAACAATTTTATCAGAAGCTTATCTCGGGGTAATCTTTCAAAGCTAATTTTAATTAACCAATAAAAATATAGTTTAAATTTCAAATTATTTCAGTTGGAACTTTGATATGATGATTATATATAAGTATAACAAATAAAATAGAACACTTTGTTAAACTGACACCTCTAATTTGAATTGACTAAAGAATAAATGTTTTTAAAAAAATTGAGCATAATTTTTTAAAATATTAATAAATTAATGTCGTTTATAAATTAAACTAAACAATTATAAATTGCCATTTTTCGACATCATCTGCACTTTTAAAGTTCTGATAACATTTTAATTGTATATACATCGAATTCCATCTGAGTTCAGGGTTATCAATAGGTTGGACTATCGATATTTATCATACTAGTTATTAATCAACCTTAAAATTATTCCATTTCTAATCAAACTTAAAAGGATTTTCGAGATAAAAATCGTAAATTAGGCAAATCGAATAATTTTAAATCAATAAACTTGGCAAAGCTAATTTAATTTATTTATCACCTATATCAAATTAAAAACGAAGCTATTCTAAAAATATCAGGATTAAAATAATTACTTTTATCAATATCAACTATTTTTATGATACTTCAACTTTTTTACCCCACTTGAATAATAAACAAATAATAGTGAAAAGTTTTAAATAACTTGCTTTTAGGCTGGATAAAAAATTACCGGTGGTAGAATAGTAGACCGTTATAAGAATTTAAAGGATAGTTTGAAATTGCTATTATTATTTTTACCCTTGAAAAAAAAGTGGGAAAATCGAGTTTGGATTGGATAAAAGTTTGGAAGTGGAATGTTTCACAACCTTTGGGGAAATTAAAAATTAATATGGCCAATTTTTACCCCACAAGATGAATAATAAAAATATTAAAAAAACCTCTTTGTATCTTACCAATCTAAAAAAAATGGGATAATTAGAAACTATGTGGATTTTGTACTATCATAGATGAATAGATAACCAAACAATATCTCTTACCGAGGAGTGATAAAATACTAGTAACAATGGAGGAGAAATATATTTTACACCTCTTGAGATATCCAATACCTACCATCAAATAGAAAGGGTGAAAATTTCAAAAAATGCCCTGTTATTAAGACACCAAATGTATTATTGATGTAATAACCACCATTTAAAATCTCTTCGGTTCCTGCAGATATTTCAACATACCATTGATTTACTAAAATGTCTACCAGGAATAGCAGTTTATTTAGATTGCATAATAGTAAATGGATTAAACTTAAAGGAACATAAAACCAATTTATGTAAAGTATCAATATTATTAAGAGACAACGAAATTAAATTAAATTTAGACAAAAGTAAATTTTTTGCTAAAAAGATTAAATTTTTAGGACATAGAATTAACAAAAAAGGGTATATCACCTACTACTAAACACTTGGGCGTAATCACGTTAGCACTGATTTCTGAAAATAAAAACAAATTTTAAACACAAGAACAAAATGGAAATCAGAACAAGCAACAAAAACATAATTAAGCTGATTTCGATCGCTCGTTATTCTTAAAAGGAATCAAGAAACATGGAAATTGCGACAAGCTATCGGGCCTATCTTTAGCCAATGTACCAATAAGTGTATGGAAATTATTGCCAGAAAACAACAATGAAGGATCAATTAGAAGCTATTTCAGATATACAAGTTGATGAAAGAAACAGTAAATGAACTAATCTTGTCAAGAATTGCCTTATATGTAGAACAGTTGGGCTTATATGTACATACATACATTTTACTTTAAAAGGCTTGAAATTATCATGGAAGAAGGATGTCTTTCAAGGGGATTATGTTTGTCTCTATGGTATTACAAGCATCGGTATTAAAATTTATACATATAGAACAGCCAGTAACTACATTTATGAACCTGAGCATGTAAGGCGTTACAATGAATAACGATTTTGAGAAAATTGAAGAGTACAATGTATATCAAGGAAATATCTAAGAATAGATTAGTCCGACTTAGCTTAAGGTGAGAATACCATGGAAAAGATTAAACCATTTTGCAGGATTTTTAAAGAAAACTATTGTTAATAATTATAGATAGTTGCGTAAATGGGCAGAGATAAAGTTAATCAGTTGTTTGAGAAAATTATTTTGGTAACCTCAAGTTCAATCGTGACCAATTATGGACCCCATTTCAAGGCAAACCATTCAAAGAATTTTTTAATAATTACTTTTAATCCTCATATCGCCAGAGATCAACGAGGAAGAAAAAAGTTTTCTTAGAAAGACACCTAACTCGAAAAATGAATTAGATTTTTATTTGTTTATCAAAATACCCACAATAACCAAATCTTCTCGAGCCTTACATATGTTAAAATTTTTTCCAAGCCATTAAATAAATTAAAACCACGATACTCCAAAAATGAGAATGAAGGAGATTATGTGAAAAGTAAAAAGGTTTAATATATAAGAAAAGTATTGACCCGAAATTTTCATGGACAACCGGGGTGGATTCTAGCAAAATTAATAAAATAGATCAGTCTTATGTAATATTTAGTTAAAGAAATGATTATGGAGAATTTATCCAGATCACCTAAAAACCCGAGTAGCTCAGGATATTGATACTTCACTTAAATATTAGAACCTGTAGATTCAGTAATTTAAAAAGAGTGTGATGAGGAAGCACTAAATCAAGAAATAACTGAAAAATATAACAACAGGACAAACAAAGTATAAGGACATTGATATCAAGAAAACCCTCATAGTCTATTCGACAGCATCATGCATGACCGCAGATCCTTTTTCCAACCTGACCAAATTTTGGAGAAAATAGCTATAAAAATAATATCTGACATGAATAAGAAAACCTCCTTTAAAGTGTCTAAGTTAAAGAGTAGAAGGTAGCCGTAGTTTGACCTTTTTGCACTTATCTTAAAATTTGCTATTTTGGGTTGTTATATTCTAATTTTACTTTCTTGTTCTTATTTTAATAATAAAATTTAAGTTACCGTTTTGTGTTTTATTAAAGAGTTTATTACCTTTTTTTGTTTAAGTTACCATATTACTATTATTATTATTATATATTTGTTTTTCTATATATAGAGACATTTTTTGTATTAACTGAACTGCTTTTAATTATTAAATTTTTAAATAAAATATACATTGTTCCCTTAGCACAATCCTACACGTTACGTTCACTCTAAAGCACGATTAAATTTAAAAAAAAACACAACAAGGTAACTCAAATTATATTATTAAGATAAGAACAAAAAGATAAATTTAGAATATAACAACCTAAAATTACAATTTTTAAGATAAGCGCAAAATATATGCCAATGTTTTATGCTTTATTAGTGCCTATGAGTACTTTAACTAGAATAGTATCCAGAATAAAGGAAATAATGATTAGTAGTAGGAGGGTAAAGTGGCTAAATTGAGTATAAAAGTGATTATTACAAATTTTGGATAAAAACATTTTTTCCCCAAAAAAACGTCAGCCCAGGAAGATTTTCCAATGAACATAGGTAGGAAATTACAAAAATAAACATTTTCATACCAAATTTAAGGTCTTTATGCTCAAGGTTAAAAAGTTATCCACGATAACATTGTTACCCCATCAATCGCTTTAACCAGCAAATTATTTGAATAATTTGGTTCGAATATTCTAATAATGCAATTATTAAATAACTCGATTCGAATAAAACTAATTCAAATTATTCGTCGAATACTTACAATTTCCTTCAAATATTTGAATTATTCGTCAAATAAATGAATGAAACAAATTATTATAATATTGGAATTATTCGTATTATTTAAATTCTTAGTTTTATTCCAATCGAATAATTGTTTAATCGTATCCTTATTCAAATTGAAGATTAAATTAATTTTTGAATAGACCTACTATTTATTGATTTCCACATTTGGAGTTGAAATATTTTAAAACGCACATTTCATAGCTCACAGATTTTAGAAAAGCTTATTTTAAGTGTGCTAGAAATCACTGAATTTCGTTAATTTTGAATGTTTAAATGATACATCTTCTAGACTCTTCCATTACTAGAGAATTAATTTAATTTTTAATGCAATTAAAATTAAATTATTTCTTATAGACGCAATAACCTATTCTATTTAATTTTGGTCCATCATTTTATCTATTCTCGGATTTATGTTAAAATAATTTTTGTGTATTTTATTCAACGTTGATCAAGTAGCAGTATAATAAATAAAATATAATTAGCTTATAATTTAAAAAAAAAATTTTTAATGAATAAAAACTATTTATTTTATTGTATATTCGGTTAATTTTTTCTTCAGAAAGTTCACTATTTTCTTTATTCCACACAAAAATTTGAAAAATATAAAAATTATTTACAAATTATTAAGAATATAATTTTTATTTACAAATTTTTAAGAATATAATTTTTATAATCATATTAAGATCATATAAAAATTCTTGAATAATATTTTAATAATATTAAGGAGAAACTATTACTTATAGTTATGAATCTTTTTTCATAGTTTTGAGAATGCCCTACTGTAGTGTGGAGACTTAATAATCATATCTCCTATCCTAATGCTGTAAGCTTTTATATCATCTAAAACCCTTACTGAGCCTATAAGGGAAAATTCTCCTAAAAACAATCAATGTTATGGCAAAAAAGGTAAATGATATCGATTTGAAAAGATTAATCAGGTAAGCGATTGAATCATTAGTGAATGTTGCATCACCATGAAGATTATTTCAGATTTTTAAGTAAGATTCCTCAATTATTTTTTTTTTCAAAATTCATAGATAAAAAAATATTGGCGACCCTTTAGACATTTTATTAGAAGTTAATTTTGATGATAAGAAGTCATTAAGAGGTATATTGGATAGTATGAACTATAGTTTTTTGTGGCTCGGATTTTCTCTTAGATTACTAAATTTTAATTATAGAAATTTTGATTTTGAATTTTTTATTTATATAATTTTTACATAAATGACCATTTTATTATGAATAATATATAATTTTTATATGCGAGGATTATAAATATTTTAGGCATAGACACAACCTACCCCGAATATTGCTTTCTTCCCGATAATTTTATTTAAGAAAAATTATGTGGTAAAAGTTTAATATCTTTTTAATTTTTTAAAATGATGTAAAAAGTAAGTGAGGGGAATAAAATGATATATTATTTATCAAGAATTAATAAGTAGTTTTTATTTTACTGCAATTTAGGACTCTCATGATCCCTCGTCTCCTCTACATACTTTTTGACGGGAATTTATAAAAATCCATCTAATAAAAGAAAAATAGAGTACAAGTAAAAGAACCTCTAGTCAGTTTTTTTACTAACTGAAACATAAAATACTAGTAGATATTATATAACAATGATACTGATACATAGTCAGACAAGATATATATCAAACATGTCATCCATATTATGTTTTAAAAAATTACATAAAATATATAAATTTTGAAATTCATATCGTATTTTAATTTTTTCATTCATATAAATTTATGGCCTTAATGGTCAATGTTGCAGATATGTAACGATTCAATTTGCTGTTATGCTTCCTTCAAGTGGATTCTTTTAAAATTTATTAGTTAGAGACTATTAAATAATATTTGAAAAAAATTAGACATGTTCATCGACTGGAAAAAGTCTGACCAATAATGGATTAAAAGTTTTTATTTCTTGTAGATTATACTTAGCTCAGTATTTGTCATGCAACATATATAATATAAAAATAAAGTAAACATAACTATTAAAGTGATTAAACTATATATTTTCCTACTAGTCTCTCGCGAATATACCCCAAAAATATAAAAAAAATTTTGATAAAAAAAATATTCTTTTAAATAGAATAAATGAGAATTAATTAAAAATGGCGATTTTCGAAGCAAATGATTTCAAAACTGCATAAATATGTAAACTATATTCATCGTATATCTAATTTACATTTATATTAATGTTGTTTGCACTGTACCCACTTCGATGTATCTTTAAAATATTTTATTTCAAATTTAAGTATTTGCAAGCATGTAACTTTAGATAAAGTTATGCAATACAAGAGACAAAAATATATCTGGAGGGGTATAATCCATAAATAAATACTTACTATAATTAAGGATCTGAGTTGAATATTCATCAATTGAATATCGAAATATAATTATTAATAGAGATATTTGCTTTAATTAAAAAATTAATAAATCATGATAATTTTATGGGGATTCGAAGATATAAAATCTAACCAAAATAAATCTTTATTATAACAGATGAGTAAATGATTTAAAGAGTTAAATAGGGTTATGTAATTATATAATTGCTAGGCTAAGATTGATTATATAGGAACAATTAAACTAATATTTAAATAATGATATATATTATATATCAATCTAGAAAATCAATTTCAAGCCAATTTTAACTATTTATAGACATTTTCCCCTTTGAATACTTTAGTAGTTAATTAATTTATTTTAAAATGTTAAAGAAATTGGCATTTTCTCCCATAAAATCAAACAAGAAACAAAATTTGGCATCTCTTATTTTCGTCGAACTTCTGTCGCCCGGCCTGCTGCCCCTTTCATCCATGCCGACGAGGGCTTGGGTATCCATCTATAAGTGAGCTTGATAGTCTCAATTATATTATCAATATATTTGTCAAATCCTCTACTCTATTTTTATCTAGAAATAAGTATGAATACACCTATTGGAATGTTATCTGGTTCCATCGAAATACCCTTCTGATAGCATAGACGATTACTTTCTTATTTATCATCTCTATACCACTTGAATTTTTAAATCGACAATAGCCACTCTCTATTTATTCTGTAATCTCATTCAATGCTTTTCATATAAACATACTATACTATATCTAAATTGTCTGAAAAATCCTAATTAATAATATGTCTCATTTTCAATAATAATGCCTCCAATTTTTTAAGATTTTGCCAATGATAATATGACTCCCCCTCATCCTCACTTTTGATCTATGAGTAAATTAAAATAAAGGTTTAATTATTTTTATGATCGCTCCAATATTCAGAAAATGCATCTTATTTATCGTAACATTTCACCTCTTTATCTGAACATTTCCCTTATTTATCTGAGCATACATACTTACAATATGAGCACTTCATTAATTATTCTAAGAATAATTGTTTGAGAGATTTCTTACTGAACTTAACAATTAAAATTAGGAGTGATTAACTCCTTTTTTCTCTGCTTCTGAGTGTTTTAACCACATTAATTCCCTAGAATTTCATTTTTCGTTTTTGACCGAATAAATATTTATGATTATTGCTAAATATAAAAATAAATATTTGCTAATTAATTTGAATGGTTGATTTATTCCCTAATGAGTACTAAGTTATGAATAGAGATTCCAAAGAATTGTTTAGGTCAACTAAATTTTTTTTTAATAGAATAAATTATAAGTAATAATTTTTTCCTTTATAATTTAGTATGGTCCTACCTTTTTTATCCGCAATTATATCACTTATATTTATATATCAATTTACATTACAACATATAGTATGTGGAAGCATTTTCTATTTGAACCTTATTTATGGACAGAGAATACTAACTAATACAATTTATTTACAATTTTTATTCAATATAAGCACTGGAAGAAATTTCTTTCTTATGTAAATGGTCGGTTTTTTTGTATTTGAAATTTTCTTCGTTTTATTTTTTTTTGTATATCCATACTTTTTTTGGCTATTTAAATTAAATTTTTTATTATATTTATTATGACACTTGGGCGTAGCCAGAGGGAAGCATAGGAAGGGGATATTTCCCTTTCCTTCCGAAATTTGTTTATTCTCATAAATATCATTTTAAGCTAATAACTCCCCCCTACGTATCTCTCAAAATTATACAATATATATCACCAAGGTAAAAGTTATTAATTTTTTAAAATAATGGCTACAATTTATATTTAGTAAAAAAAGTGAAAACAATAATTATTCTTTGAAGAATGTAACATAGACAACGGCCTGCAATATACGAATTTAGAGATATTATGGAGATAAATCCAAATAATGACCCCCCCCCCCCCCCCCCCCCCTTGGCAAAATTCTTGTCATGCCAATAATAACACTTGTGTTTGCTGCTTTCCTTTCTAAAATTAAATTAAGGCATCACAGTTTCAGATGTTCGAATTCAGATTTTATGGTTAATTTTAAAATTGTTAAATAAATAGAAATTTACCTTTAAAATAAAGAGTTGATCCCAAGTACTTTTATATCGTCGATACGAAAAAGTATAAGATAAATTATGTATATTTTAAAATCCTTTTAATTCTAAAATAATATAAAAATTAATTTTAATATCAAAATAAAACTATATATTTATATATGCATTATTTTTAGTAAAATATCCATAGATATATTTTTATTTTATATAATATTACTAAATTTTTTAATTTGACAATTTAAGATTATTTTTTTTAAAAAGATTAAAAAATTATCTTTAATATTGTTTTTATTATTTAAAAAAAGATAAACCCAAAACCAATAAGTATAGATAAATAATTTGTAATTAATAAATTTAAACAATATTCTTTATTATAAAAATTCTGTTTAATTCCAATGGAATAAATCATTACAAACACTATTTCTAATATATAAACTATTGGGATATGAAAAATAAAATTTTATAACTAGGCTTTTCATTATGGGTATAAAGGCTTTGCATTATTTATGAGAATTATTGATTTAAGTAGTTGGGAAAATCACCATTATAAATCCATATCCATATTTTAATTATATATTTTATGATATTATAATAATTAATTTTAAATAATATACATTTTGCTGAAGGGTAAGGAGGTGGGCGTTACTTTTAGGAGGGCTTTGATCTTGGACATATTATCATTTAAAATTTATACGTAAATATCAGATTTATAGTTTACTACAACTTTTCTGTTTTTCGATTTTCATCTTATGCGCCTTTTCCTTACCCATATATATTTAAATAGTGAATTTACAAAGTAGCTGGCCTAGTTCTAGAAAAAATACAAAATAGAGAAGATTTAGTTAAGAGATAAATATTGAATCCAAGCCAAGGCTTTAACTATGGGATAAAAATTGGAGGTTCAATACTCTTTTCCGACTCAACAAAACCCAGCCCAGCCTAGCCTTCTTTCGGTCCGGCCCCGGTTTACTTAAGTCTGATCAAGATTTTTAAAATCTGATCGTCTATATTAATTTTGGCTTTATTTTGGAAATAGTATAAAATGAAAAAGGAAACCAAAAATATCAGAAGAGAGTATATAAATGATCTTAAATGTAATATAGACTGGTTAATTAATATAATTTAATTTATTGTCAATAAATATTAAACTCCGCCCTGGTTTGTAATTTTTTATTGATTTCGATAAGGGTTTAAAGTAGAGGTTTGCTTTGGGCAGGTTTTCGGGATGCCCGCCTCCGCCCGCCCATCTAAGTGGGCGAAATTTTATTTGAAAGTAATTAAAATTTCCTTTTATGGTAATATAATAAATTTTTTTTGGATATTGAAAATTAAAATTTACTTTTTTGAAAATAATTAATATTTCTGCATTGTATTGCTTTATTTTAAATTATAAAACTTTTTGTAGAGGTGTAATTAGGGATGTAAATTTCCCGGGAAACTATATTTCGGGGAAATTTCCCGGGAAATTTGGGGAAAAAACGGGAAATAATGGGAAAATAGGGAAATAACGGGAAAAAACGGGAAACTATCTATTTTATAATACTTTACAGGTCAATATTGATTTTTTTTTATGTTTTATTGAAAATATATAGATTATAAACATTATAATTAAACAAATATAAATTATTTTCAACTAATTTGCAATTACTTTACATGTTTTATTTGAAATATTATATATAGACTAAATAATATTTAAACAATTAATTTTGAATAGTTAATTATCTTCGTTTGAAGATGAAAATGATTCCAGATCAGAGCTTGAAATTCTGGAATCCAGCAATTTGTCATTTTCAGAAATTTCCTTTCCCATAAAATGTAGATTGGCTCTTATATAAACTAATTTTTTTATTCTATTTCTATTTCTAGATTTAGAATGAATATTTCCAAAGGAGGACCATATTCTTTCGGATGCTGCACTTGTTGGTGGTACTGATAAAATTCGTATGGCTAGGGTCGATATGTATTGATTGCAACATAGACCTAATAAAATATTGAATAACACAATTTTAAGATTAGAAAAAGAGTTAAGTTATTGTTTACAGAAATATAAAAGTATTTAACCTTTCCACCAACTCACTGGATCTGTAAATGATGCGCCTTGCCAAAGACTTGCTATATTAAAAAAATCTTCCCTTGCACGATATTTGGATAGGTTTCCTATTACTCTTGCAATATCTAAATCTAGATATCCAGAAAATCGGTTAATAATATCCAACCCCTTTGCAACTTCATTGTCTCTTAAATTAAATCCGCAAAACCTTGGGTCAAATATATGAACAGCATAATGAATGTCCCGACAACAAAAAATTTTTCGGCTTTCGATAAACTGCTCTATTTCTAAAATCTAGCTCTGCCACAATATATTTGATATTGTTTTATAAGCGTTAAATGTCTCCCTGATATGAATAAACGCTTGAGGGACATCAGATAATTAACATAACTTAAAATTTCATATATTTATAAATTTCATTGGTATTTATTTATAATATAAATATACTTTTCAGACTAGCTATTTAATTTTAACAAGTATCTTCTAAAATTTTGCAAATGTAAATAGGGAAATTGACATAATTCAAAAACAAAACACAATTATAATTTATGATATGAACCACGAGGAAAAAATGATTTTATAAAATCTAATAAAAATCGTATTTATTTTATCATAAGATCATTTTCAAAATTGGGAAACTGTTAATATTATAAAAATCATGTTGATTTAGGCAAAAAAACCTATTATAAAAATTGGGGAAACTATAGGGGAAATTTCCCCGGGAATGTCTTACATCCCTAGGTGTATTGCTGAAACTGAATTATTTTTTTTATTAAATGCTTAGAAAATTAAAAGAATGGCCATAATTAAATTTATAATAACTGGCTTGGGTTAAAAAATTTTATACAATGAGCGGGCGGGTGGGTAAGAAATTTTAGACTAAGGGCGGAGGGGGGGGGTATTTTTTTTGAAAACTTCGGGTTAGGTCCATGGGTTGATTTTTTTAAACATTGGGTGGGCGGGCTTATGGGCTAAAAACTCGACTATGCAGACCTCAGTTTGTAGGTCTCTAAACATAAATTTATTTATATTTAATATATTTAAAAAATATTATGTATCTTTTTCCTAAAACTTTTATTTGAAATATTTTCCTGTTCCAACCTCTTCTCACTCATATGTTGAAACTATATTGTTATACTTTTAATATTACTAAAGATTTTTATATTATCTTATAATATCTATATAGTATGTAATGAATTGCCTAAGAAAATCTTTTTGTAACAGTACGATTTTAATATAGAGAAAAAAAACAATTTAGAAATAATATAATCATAGAAGATACTTTATTAAGCTATAAATGTAGATAAATTTCTTTTAACTTTTAGTAGGTAAAACTCATTAAACCTGGATTCCAATTTGGTTTCTAATGGTTTATAAAAAAAATATTGTCCCAAATAAATTTTGCACCCCCCCCCCCCCCTTCCTCGGAAGTTTTTTTGCTACGGGCCTGTTTAAATGTATTAGAAAGACATTAGAATTGTTATATCAATTTTGTATCCTATTAATGGCTTATATCAACTATATTAAATACAATTTCAAAAAATCTTTGTTTATAATAAAAATTAGCACATAAAAATATGTATATTTCTATAAATAATGATACATGATTCTAAAGACTCTTTTATGACTTTTTTTAAAAATTTGCTACCACTTCATAAGTTTGACTTCGTCTTGACTGTCTATTTTTTAACCATTAATTTTTAAAATAGGAAAAAATAACGAAAATTTTTTCAATTTGTTGATCCTATTAATTGATTGCAAATTATAATCTCATTATGTTAGAAATAAAAATGGATTTAAAAAATTGGTAAATAAATACACTTAAAATGGAAAAAGCTTTGCAAAGACAAATTTTATAAAACTTTTTTTAATATAAACGAATAACAATCAAGATAAAAATATAAGCTGCTAGATTAAACAAAATTTCAGCTATAAAATATGCTAATCTTTTTAAAAAAATATATTGAATTACTAGGGTTATAAAGAATTCGTCATTAGCACTATTATAAATCAAGAAGGATATTAAATTCGTTTATAGGTTTCAAATACACAAAAATTTAATTTGAATATTAATAATAATATATTGGTATAGTAAGTGTAGTAATAATAGTTAAACACTAATGGTATAATATTACCTGAATAATTAATTGATATTTTTCGTAATTTCTTTATTTAAAATATTAACTAAAATACACCCTCCCCCCCCCCTGCCTGCCCCCTTAATAAAATTATAATTATTAACCACATAATAATGATTTAAACAAACATCTGCAATTATAATTTTATTTCTGTGAATGAAATTTGATCAAGTTTCATTTTATATGGCCAAAATAATTTTAGGATTAGAAAATGAATATTTGACTTCAAATTTGCTTTTAACTGTTATCATTTATAAAACAACCTTTTATATCATTTTTTTATGAACCATATATAATTAAAAGAATAGCTTTTAAGTAGCTCCAAAATAAAAAAGCCATTCAAGCCTCTAGAGATATTTATATAAGCACGACTCGATGCTGACTCAACAAGGCCGGTAATACGCCTCATACTGAAAAACTATTTCAGCCATATAACACGCTTATTTTTTTTAAAATATATCCCTAACTTTATTCCATATATGTGTTTCTGGTGAAATCAAGCGAAGGAAATAAAGAATTTTTTTAAAAAGGAAGCATTTTAAAATTTAGAATTATATTTTTGGAGCTAAACCCTAGCCAATATCAGACCTTCATTCATATCTATTGTATATTATTTGCAATAGCTGGCAACAGGCCTTGGCCTAAATGTGAATATCAAACTTAATTAATTATGAAGTACTGAAAGGCGTTTGAATTTTTCATCTTTAAGGCATTGTTTTAAATTTGTTATTAATAAGATCTTCGCATTCAAAAGATTTTAAACAAAAACAATTTTCTTTTTTCACCCTTTTTATTTGAAAATGTTTGTTTTGGGACAAGTGTTTTTTGAATTTTATGGAATTTATACGACATATTTCTCATAAGCTACTGAATAAACTTGGTTGGAAGTTTTTAGACAATTTAAAATAATTGTTTGAGTCAAATAAGGTAACGCACAACCTCTGGGGCTATACGACAAGA